CACTTGTTGGCCCTTGGAACCTGCAGACCGCTTTTACCATCCATGAGGTCATCCCCAAAATGCGCTCGGGGAGGCGCAGTGTCAGCAGCGGCGCGCTCCCATCACGCCTGACTCCACCGCCGCGAGCCCGGCTGACACCTCCGCATGACACATCTCATCAGGATCCGCTGTGAGGCCGGGCGGGCTGCTGCCGCCTCCCAACCACACTCCAAACCTAGCGTCGTAAAAACAACAAGCGTGTACTATTGTCACAGTGTCTCGGCGGCGGCTCTGCTGTGAGGCTCTGCTGTGAGGTTCTGGCTTGGGGTCTCTCGTGAGGTGGCCGTGGCCACAGTCCCCCGGGGCTGGACACGAGGCGGCCCCCTCTCCCGCAGGGGAGCCCACGGGGCACTTGGCAGCAGCTGCAGGTGCTCCCCGGGAGCTGCGCGAGCGACCCCACTGCGTGGCGGCTGCCCGGCCGAGCCAGCAACCCACCCAGGAGGGAGGGGGACACCACGATGTCCTTCGTGACGCGCCTCGGAAGGCCACACTCCGTCCGGTGCTTCAGCAGTCCCGTTCCGGCTGTGCAGGGGGAGGGGGCGGCGCCAGGGCGTGAAACCTGGGAGCTGAGGCTCCCACGGGCATCTCGAAGGCTCGCGAAGGTAGCGCTGCTCCGCGGATCCCTCTGCCACTTCTCCACCCGCTACTTCTCCACCCCACCGAGGGTGAGCCTCTGGGCCCTGCTTTGCCCCCGAAATGTACAAGGGGCGTGGCCCGCTCTCAGCGGGAATTTTAAGAGCCATCAAGCTACTTCCCAGTCCACTTCTGTTGTCAGGATCGCAGGTGCGTGTCAGGATCAGACAAGCCCTTGGTGGGGGGTGCAGTGGCTCATGCTTGTGAGCCCAGCACTTTGAGAGGCCGAGGCGGGAGGACTGCTTGAGCCCAGGAGTTTGAAACCAGCCTGGGCAATATAGTGAGATCCCGTCTCTACACAAATTTAAAAATTAGCCAGGTGTGCGTCTGTCCCGGGTACTTGGGAGGCTGAGGTGGGAGGATCCCTTGAGCCCAGGAGGTCGAGGCTGCAGTGAGCTGGGATTACACCAATGCACTGCAGCCTGGGTGACAGAGCAAGACCCCAGCTCAAAAAAGAAAACTGGGCCAGGTGCGGTGGCTCATGCCTGTAATCCCAGCACTTTGGGAGGCCGAGGCAGGTGGATCACTTGAGGTCAGGAGTTCGAGACCAGCCTGGCCAACATGGCGAAACCCCGTCTCTACTAAAAATACAAAAAAAATTAGCCGGGCTAGCCGGGCGTGGTGGCGGGCGCCTGTAGTCCCAGCTACTCAGGAGGCTGAGGCAGGAGAATCGCTTGAACCCGGGAGGCGAAGGCTGCAGTGAGCTGAGATTGCGTCACTGCGCTCCAGGCTGGGCGGCGGAGCCAGACTCCGTCTCAAAAAAATAAAAAACAAAAACCCAACAACTGGCCGTCCCCTGCAGAGGAAGCGAGAAGAGTTTTGGTTGTGTTGAAGCCACTGAGGTTTGGGGTTGTTGGTTCCTGTGGTGCCCGCGGCTTCTCCTGACTGACAGGTCTGTGGGCCAGGATTAGCCAGCTCCATCCACCACCACTCCTGCACAAATTCTCTCCTCTCTGGGGGCGGCTCCCCAGGCATCCACGCGGCCCCTCGGTGCGCAGGGCTCTGTGCCTGGCCCAGACCTGCCTCGGGTGTTCGTCTGCCCCTCCCCACGTGTGCGCCCTGCTTTTCTGCGCCTGACTTTGTGCATCTACGTTGTGGGGGTTCTTGTGAGGACGGGAGAACAGGGCTGGAGCCAGGTGCTCAGGACATGTGGGAGGCCCCGCCTGCGCTTATTTCGGGCTGTAATTAGGGCTGCAGCTCTGCCACAGCTGCCTCCAGGGGCAGGAAGACGCTCAAAAAGGTAATTACATCCTGGTGAGATCACAGCCATGATGACGGCAAGAGACAGGAAGGTGACAGCTGACTTCAAGGCAGCCGCATACCGGCTCCCAGCAGAATCACTGGGTGATGGAGGAGGAGGAGGAGGAGGAGGAGGAAGGCAGCAAGCTCTGGGCTGGGAGGAGGCCGGGGCTGGAATGTCAGCTCTGCCTGTGACGGTGGCCTCTGGGCCTTGGTTTCCCTGATTGCAAAATGGAGAGTGGGAGCCCAGCCAGGCTCTGTCTGTGTCGGCTCCTACACAGAGCGGTTTGTAAGGCATGTGAGCATTTGTTAATACAGGAAAGATCTATTTATGGAAAGTCTCCAGAAAGAGACGCAGGAGCCCCTCCGCGCTTCAGACTTCGGCTTCCCACTCTTGCCCCCAGCAGATGCCGGGCGGTGACTGGGACATCTGTGGTTGTCACGACTCGGGGAGCTCCTGGCGAGGAGTGGGTGGAGGCCGGGGACGCTGCTCAGGGCCCTGCAGTGCCCAGGACGGGCCCCCGGAGAACCAGTCGGGGGAACCCTGGCCCAGATCGGCCGGGGCTTGGTTTCCGTGCACGTTTTCCCGGCCGTGACCTGCAGGGGGCAGCGCAGTCCTGGCTGCTACGACGAGCAACGCGGGGGCTCAGGAGGCCTCGGGGCTGCACTCTGCGGCTTCTGAGCCCAGCTCTGCCCTGGGTGGCCGTGTGGCCTTCAGTAAGTCATGGAACGTCTGTGTGTGTGCTCCACGGGCCTTGGAGACGACCGGGAAGGTGGCAGGAGGGGGACGCTGTGGCCCCATCACCAGCCCGGGTGGCCGGAGCCGGCCATTTCTCAAAAGAAGGTGGCAGAGGGGATGTGGAGTGACTTCTCCCCCAGTCTACCGCGGTGACGCTCTCAGGAGCAGCCCAGTCAGCCCTGCAGCCTTTGGGGGTCCACACGCTGGACCGAGTGGGGACAAACCTGCCAAGCTCTGGGCTTCTCTTCCCGACCGGCCAGGTGACCTCGGGGTTCCTGACGGTCCAAGGACGGAGGGGCAGCCAGAGCTGCCCGCGGGGAGGACGGGAGCAGGCCTGGCTCTGCGAGCGCAGAATCAGATGCTGCTCAGGCCTGCGCACCTGTCTTCCACGTTCCCCACTGGCTGTGTCTCTGGGGAGCCCAGGTGAGCCCAGGGCTGGGATGCATCTGCACTGCCCTTGTCCTGACTCCCTGCTATGAGAACTCTTCCAGACAACGGCTCCGCTCCTGTCCTGGGGTGACTGGTGCCCGCCAGGCTCACGCCCATCCAGAACCTCAGACCGAGAGCTTATTTGGGACAGCAGATGTAGATGGTGGAGGTCACACTGAAGTACGGTGGGGCCTAGTGGTGACATTATGAGGGAATATAGCACAGAGACACAGAGGAGGCCACGTGACGACAGAGGCAGAGACTGCAGCGATGCGGCCACAAGCCAAAGCCTGATGGCTGCCACTGGAAGCTGGGGAGGCAAGGAGGCTCCTTCCCTGGAGCCTCCAGAGGGAGTGTGGCCCTCCTGACACCTCAATTTCAGACTTCTGCCCTCCAGAACTGTGAGAGAATGCATTTCTGTTGTTTTAAGCCACTGAGTTGGAGGTAATTTGTTCCAGCAGCCCTCAGAAATTAAATATCCTCATCTGCAGTGTCTATGGGGTGAGTGGCTTGTGCAGTAATCAACCTGAACAACCATATATGGTGGGCCCGCTGTTTAACCCTTTTCCTCCTTGGGAGATTCTCTTTCAGATGTCCTGGGAGGCCATCTTCCTCCTGCTCCCCCTTCACCTCTGGTCTCGCCTTCCCACCCTGTCTTGTGGCTTCTCTGGGCTGGGTGCCCTCAGAGTGTGGTTCTCAGCTCTTCTCAGCTCCCCTGAAGCCTTTAGGACCCCTCCCAGTCCAGTCTCCTGTCCTGGCCCCATGTCTCAGTTGCAGACACTTCTGTCCACCTTCCCGTTCTAGGCTCCTTCCAGTCGCTAACTTAATCCACAGGTGACTCTGGCAGCTTCTTCAAACCAGGGCCTTCCATTGCGGTAAACGGCTCCACTGACCCTCCGGGCCTGCCCTTGCCCTCTCCCCTCCCACCCGGCCCCAGCAAACCCTCGGGCGGGGCCTTCAGAGCCACTGGGCCACTGGAGCAAGTCTGCTTCTTGTCCAGGTCCCCAACACCCTGCCACCCTTATCTGACTATGATCTTGTACACCTGTGCACCGTGACCGTGGTGGGAGGGGACACTCCCCGTTTCTCTTCTCGCCCCGAACTTCTCTGGGACTCTGGCGAGAGCTGCCATGGTGGGCGCTTATGCCCTGGTTATGAGGCTGAAAGGGCACCTTTGCTTGGCATCCTTCCCTGTCTGCTCTTCCCACCCCCTTCCTGGGTTCTCTTGGGTGCACCCCCTTATAAAATCACCAGTACACAAAATGCCTACCTCAGGCCCCGCTTCTGGGGACCCCCCCCAACAAAAAAGAAAGCAGCCCATTCATACCCAACGTTAACACATAGTCCTCAACCACCTTCCTGGGCTCAGAACTGGCCCTAGCCAGGGGACACCGCGCATAGGCACCTGCAGCCCCGCAGGCTTCCGCCAAACTCCGCGGCCTTCCCGCCTCCCATATGTCCCACACTCCGGCTCTAAATTTGCACCTGCTGGGCCTCTTCCCTGCAACCCCCCTGCCCCGGCCCGCGCATCGCCAGGCTCTTCCAGGAATCCCCACTTGCCTGCTAGGAGCCTGTCCCCTAAGGTGGGGGCCCTGGGTGACTGGGCTGCTCTCTGTAAATAGCATGATTTTGAAAATCATGAACTGCAAGGTGAAACGCAGCACCTGCAAAAAGGCGTCACAGACGCGAAGCCGGCCAGAAGGACTCGCGCCGCATGCAGCGCTCTGTCCAGCGCCGGACCCAAGCCCGGACCGTCCAGCCCACCTTGTGCGGTCCATCCCTCCCAAAAAGGCACCACAGACTACAACTCCCAGCACGTCCCGGGCCCCCGCGCCGGCGCTGCGGGTAAGGAGCCGCGCGGGGCATGCTGGGAATTGAAGTCCGCCACCGCCCCACCCGCCCAAGCCGGCCCGCTGCGCACCTCTGGGAGTGGTGGGCCAGGCGAAGGTGCCACAGTGCGCGGCCCAGGCGCTGCTGCTGCAGCAGGAGCTGGCCCGGGGGCTCCCCGGCGCCGCCGTTTACAGGCGAGCGCAGGCCCATGTTCTCGAAGTAGTGGGCCAGGAATGCGATCGGTTCCTCGGGCCGCGCCTCCAGCACCTTCAGCAGGGCCGCCCGTAGCATCTCCGTCACGCCGATCTGCCGCAGGAAGTCCTCCTCGCTCTCGGCCGCCCCCGCCGCCCGGGATACCGACTGGCGGCCGCTGTCGGTGAAACCAGCCGGTGGTGGTACCGCTGGCCGCCGCTTCTCCACTGCCGCCATCTTCGCTGAGGGCATCGGGACCGGAAGCACCGCCATATTCCACCGTGCGCTAGAACCCCAAGGCGGCCATCTTGATTAAGGGCAGAGGGCACTGGGATCCCGTTGGGAAACTTTGGGAGATGACAAAGGCCCGCTGCCCCTTTCCCTGTGTCCTTATCGGCATTCTCTTTTCTCCTCCCTGTTTGTGTATATTGATTGGCCTTCCTGTCTTTGGCCTGGATCCTGAATTTTGCCAGACTCCAAAATGGCTGCCTCGGAAGTGCTCCGTTTCTGGCACGAAGCCGGATTGCTTGTCATTTGGGTAGTGAGCGAGTCCTTTATTAGCCTGGTCTCCTAGCAACCAGTCTCCCCGGTTACCAGAGGCCTGACGGAGCATGCGCGGGGATGGACCTGCCTAGGACTGCTGGACCCAGCCCCGCGCCCGGCCCGCAGACCCTTTTCTCATGTTCATTTCTGAGCCTTGGTGCTGGGGGTCGAGCCCCGCCGGGACTTCCGCCTGACCCAGTCTCCGTCTGAGTGCGCAGCTCCCCTCGTGGGAGAAGCCCCCTCCCCAGCCCAGCTCCGCTGCAGCCGCGCTGAGCCCCTAGTGGCGGCCACCCGGGCGAGCATCCCAGGCTGTTACCCTCCTGACCGCCAGAGGGAGCCTTCTGACACCGCCGCCTCCAGAGCTCTAAACTCTCCCATGGCTCCCCATTACCCCCAGGCTGTCACCTCCAGCCCTTGCTGACCTCGCTTCCAGCCGCCCTCCCGCCCCTCCCAACCCTCCTCAGCCCCCCGGCCACCTCAAAACACAGCCTCCTGCTCAGGCCACCTCTCCGTGTGTTTCCCCAGGCGACCTCTATATATCTTTCCTCACTTCTCCCACTGCTTTCGGGGAGTCCTGGTTAAGCTTCTCACCAGGGAGACCACTAAGCCCTCGCATTTTCCCGCCCCCGGCAGAGCTTGCTGGGTGCCCTCCCTGTCCCTCAGGGCCGTTGCCCTGGGCAGGCGGTAATGAGAGCTGTTTCGGGGGGTGCGTTCCACCATCCTCCGACCACAGGAGTCTCTGGCGGGCAGACCAAATGCCCTTTGTCCAGCGTAAACTAGAGGTTCCTCTTCATACTATACTTTCCTCCCCATCTAATTAGGAATAAATAGTAACTTCTCTTAGAAGCAAAATGTATTCAAAGATCTGTGCTAACATTCTTCACTATCTGCTGGCTGTACTAAATCAATGTACTTTATATTCTCAGTTGCCACAATGTAGCCTAAATATTTGCCCTGGCATGCTTATGCTGGTCCAAACGGGCATTAGGTCACAGCCTGTTCCTCTTCCTTATCTGAAGGTGCTTTTACCTTTCTCAGCATTCCACAAGTTACTTCTTCCTTCCTTTGCTCTCCTCTGCCTTTGCCTCTTTTACAAAGTTCTAAGTTGCCGGCCAATCGGAACAAATACAAAAGGTGAGGTCCTGTTCTAGCCAACAGAAACTGGACACAGAAGCAGGGTGGACGCGTCAGGTTAGAAATGACCCTGTCTCCTTTGTTCGGTGTGCTCTTGTGGCTGGACAGCTATTGAGTAGCACCCTTTCTGCAGAAAGTAAACCAATGGCCTTGCCGAGGAAATTAAATTTATGTTCAAGTGCCATTTCTTTACGGCACCGGGGAACAAGCATTCCTGACACTTTATTCTCCAGCCCTGGACTGTGGGATGAGGGAGATGGAGCCATCAGGGCGGGGCCCACAGTCAGCCCTCCTGCTTTCCGGAGCCCTCAGATCTCTCCTCTCCACGGAGTGGGTGTCCACTGAGAAAAATGACAAGTTTCAGTTTCTATCCTTTTAGGAGGTTTATTTGCCAAAGCCTCAGGAGGTCCTGACGGCAGGGGCCCAAGGTGGTCGGGGCACAGCTGGTTTTACGCATTTTAGGGAGATATGACACATGAATCAATATATGTAAGAAGTACGTTGGTTCTGTCCAGAAAGTCGGGGGTCACTCGAGCGGGGGGGGGGGCTTCCAGGTCACGGGTAGGCGGGACAAACGGTCACCTTCTTTTGAGTTTCTGATGAGCCTTTCCAAAGGAGGCAATCAGAATGTGCGTCCCTCTCTGTGACCAGAGGGATGACTTTGAATAGAATGGGAGGCAGGTTTGCCCCGACCAGTTCTCAGCTTGAAGGGGTCCAACCTATTTTCCCTTCACAGGGGGAAGGGCTGGCTACTCAGAAGGGGCTACCCCCGACCTGGTCGGTCCCCCTTAATCCAGCCCAGGTCGACACCTGGGGCAGGAGCCTCAGAGAAGCTGGTGGGTGGGTGCCGTCCTCAGCCAGGTGCCGGCAGCGTTTCCAGAGGTGATAGGTGGGCAAAGCCAGGAGCAGCAGTCCCAGCACCGCACTGCTGGTCCACAGAGCCGTGGGCAGCTGGTCACCCGTAGGTTTGGACGCTGGGGAGAGCAGGAGACGCCGGTCAGAGCCCTCCAGGCCTCTGCAGGCTTGGGAAGGGAGGAGTCTCTCAGAGGCTACACGGGCTTCCAGAGTTACCACATTCCCTGAAATTTCACAAAGGACTTTACCTTTGTGACCCTTTCAAAACGCGCATAGCACCTTAGAGTTTAGAAATGGGCAGTCCAGGCCGGGTGCGGAGGCTCACGCCTGAAATCCCAGCACTTTGGGAGGCCGAAGCGGGCGGATCATGAGGTCAGGAGTTCGAGACCAGCCTGACCATGGGGAAACCCTGTACCTCCTAAAAATACAAAAATTAGCCGGGCATGATGACAGGTGCCTGTAATCCCAGCTACTCAGGAGGCTGAGGCAGGAGAATCACGTGAACCCGGGAGGCGGAGGTTGCAGTGAGCCGAGATCGTACCACTGCACTCCAGCCTTGTGCAACAGAGTGAGACTCTGTCGCACACACACACACAAAAGGGCAGTCCGGAGAGAGGACGGCTCACCACCACGAAGGGTGCTGAGCCTGCAATCTGCACTTTGAAGACTTAGTTTGGGGAAAAAGGAGGAGTGTAATATATCTCCTTCATACCATTTTATACTGATTACCTGTTGAAATGATAATACTTGGGATATATTGGGCTCCGTGAAATGTATGACCACATTTTTTTTTTTTGGAATGGGAATCTCGCTCTGTTCCCGACGGCTGGGTGCAGTGGTGCGATTTGTGGCTCACGCAAGCTCTGCTCTTGGGTTCAAGTGTTTCCTGCTTCAGCCTCACTGAATAGCTGGACTACAGGCGCCCGTCACCAGCACCTGGCTATTTTTGTATTTTTTGTAGAAATGAGGTTTCCCCATGTTGGCCAGGCTGGTCTCGAAACTCCTGACCTCACGGTGATCCTCTCTCAGTGCTCCGAAGTGCTGGGTTACAGGCGTTGAGCACCAGTCTGGCCACCCTTTTTTTGTTTTTTTTGCGGTGACTGGGTCTTGCCTGTCACCGGTGTGGCTGACCAGCTCACTGCAGCCTCAATCCTGGGCAAGTGACTCATCCAGCCTCAGCCTCCCAAGTGGCTGGGGACCACAAGTTATACAGCACGGACTCCAGCTAATTTTTAAATTTTTTTGGTGTGGAAATGGGGGCTCTATGTTGCCAGAATAGTGTCTTGACTCCTGGGCTCAGTGATCCTCCTTTCTCTGCCTCCCAAAGTGGCTGGGATACCAGGCATGACCACTGTGCTTGGCCTGACCACATTATTTTTACCGGTTTTTTTTTTTTTTGAGACGGAATCTTGCTCTTTTGACCAGGGCCGAGTGCAGTGGCGCTCGATCTCGGCTCACTGCAAGCTCTTCCTCCTGGTTCACGCCATTCTTCCTGCTAGCTCCTGGAGTAGCTGGGACTACAGGCGCCCCACCACCACGCCCGGCTAATTTTTTATATTTAGTAGAGGCGGGGGTTTCACTGGTGTTAGCCAGGATGGTCTCGCTCTCCTGGACCTCGTATCTGCCCGCCTCAGCACTCCCAATAGTGCTGGGATTTACCGGGTGAGTTCACGCGCCTGGCCTTTACTTTTAAATTTGAAATTACCTGTAGAAAGTAGAAAAGTTCCATTCAAAGCTCGTCGTTGGTTTAAAATTAAAATTATAGACACTAGAAATACATAGCTTCTTACCGTAAAGCCTTCCTATCAGCGTATTTTTCTTCACTTTAGCCCAGTTAGTTGCTTGGGGTTTACCCAAGCGTGGTCTGGACCGTCCAGCAAGGTCTTGGTTCATAGTTATTCCCCTTCCTTATTTTGGAATTATTATCGCTTCCTTAAATTTCGTAAGCACTTCCTCTCTTTGTCCTCCTTTGCAGCTTACCTATTTAGGAACAGTTTTAGGTTGTTAGCAAATGGGGTACAGTTTAAGACTGTGGATGTCCCGACTCAGCAGTGGATGCGGATATTGCGTTAAGGAAGTCCGCCGGCCACGAGTGGCTCACCTGCCTGTATCTCAGCACTTTGGGAGGCGGAGGCGGGTGGATCACGAGTCGTCAGGAGGATCGAGACCATTCCTGGCTAACACGGTGAACCCCGGTCTCTATAAAAATACGCCAATTAGCCGGGTGCACGGGTGGCGGCGCCTGTGGTCCAGCTCTCCGGGAGGCTAAGGCAGGGAATGGGGTGAACCCCGGAGAGGCGGAGGCTTGCAGTGAGCCGACGATCGCAGCCACTGAAACTCCAGCCTGGGCCAACGGAGCAAGACTCCGTCTCAAAGAAAAAAAAAAGGCAAGATCAAATGATAAGGGGATAATATGTCTGCATTTCTTTGTGTTCAGGTGTGCTCGTCATTGTTCATTCTGCAATGGGACCCTTTGCATAAAAGTAAATGGCGCTACTTGATTAAATTTGAGTGCTGGTTTTTTGTGGGCACCGGGAACAAGTATTTCGACATTCCTTATGTGGGTCGGGCACAGTGGGCTCACGCCGTCATCCCAGCACTTTGGGGCTGAGAGTGGGCGGATCACCCAGGTCAGTGTCGAGACCAGCCTGGTCAGCATGGTGTAAACCCCGTTCGGGCGGGCCGGTGGCTCACCTGTAATCCACACTTTGGGAGGCCGAGACGCGGATACGAGGTGGGATGATCGAACCATTCCCTGGTTAACACGGTGAACCCCGTCTCTTACTAAAAAATTTAAAAAACTGAGCGGGCGAGGTGTGCGGGCGCCTGTAGTCCCAGGCTACTCGGGAGCTGAGGCAGGAGAATGGCGTGAACCCCGGGGAGGCGGAGCTTGCAGTGAGATGAGATCCGGCACTGCACTCAGCGCTGGGGGACAGAGCCGCAGCCTCTGTCTCAAAAAAAAAAAAAAAAAGGAACCCGCGTTCTCTTAGCAAACAATAACAACATTGCAGGCATTTGTGATGGTGTGGGCCTATGAATCCCAGCAACACGAGAGGCTGAGGCAGGAGAATCGCTTGAACCGGGAGGCGGAGGTTGCAAGAGCCGAGATTGCACTTTGCACTCAGGCCTGGGGACCAAAGCAGACTCTGTCTCAAAAAAAAGAACAAAAAGGGAAAAAAATACTTATGTGACCCATTTCTGTTTCTGCTTCTGTTCCAGAAGATTGTTCTAGTCTATGAGCGCTGAAATTTACAAGTGCCCTTGAAATCTGCACAGTCTCTGACGTTTACAAAAGGACCTACAGTTAAGAGAAGCCACTGGACAGACGGGGAAACTGAGGCTGGACGAATGGAGAAACCAGACTGGACAGATGGGGAA